CCTCCCCCACTGGCCTGGTCCTCAGCCTTCTACATGGCATTTCTCCACTTGAAACACTTCTCTGTCCAGTAGCCTCTCTTCTGTGGGTAGACTTCTCTGTCCAGTAGCTCCCTCTTCTGCCCAGGGAGCCTGTCAGAGGCTCTGTCAAATCCCTTGAATTTCATTCCTCCTGGGGGGTCCTTGCATGTCCTTTGATAAGAGGAGCAGCTGCTCCTAAAATCATGGCTCCAGAGCACTTCGGCTCTGCCCAGCCCTGGACAACTGGCCTGTCAGTCACTCGTGTTATCCTCACCGGGAACAGTGGCCGCCTGTGTAGGTGCCAGCGATGGATGGGCCATATACAGTGCATTCTGTCAGCCCCTCTGAGGTAGCAACCTCATCTCTGTCTTATAAGTAAGGAAACTGAGGCACAGGGAGATTAAGTTACCTACTTGAGGTCATGTAGTAAGTGGGGTGGGGCAGGGTTAGAATCTAGAACCTGCTCTCACCCCCTCTACCCAGAGTGCACTGGAATTGTCGGATGTCCTCAGAGAGAGCCATTGTGCAAGTCCTCCTTTCACTGTGGGCCAGCCACTGCAGGGCCTCCTGGGTCCCGTGAGTCGTTGACATCTGTCCTCCTCCCCCCACAGGTTCACCCTCCTGCAGACATGGGGCGCAGAAAGTCAAAACGAAAGCCACCCCCCAAGAAGAAGATGACAGGCACTCTAGAGACCCAGTTCACCTGCCCCTTCTGCAACCACGAGAAATCTTGTGACGTGAAAATGTGAGCGAGGGGTGGGGGCCAGGAATCCTGCCTCACGGGGCCTCCCCCGCACTCAGGCAGGAATTGGCTCCCCCTTAGATACAGGCCTCTTTGCTTATCAGTCCCTCCATCTCCTCCCATTCCAGGGACCGTGCCCGTAACACCGGAGTCATCTCTTGTACCGTGTGCCTAGAGGAATTCCAGACACCCATCACGTGTATCCTTGGGAAACTGGGCTTTATCCAGGGGGTGGGGGTGGGGTGGTCAGGGCTGCCCTGCCCAGGGTGGGCTGCTCAAGGGCTCCTCACCAAGGGCAGGGGTAGAATCAGCCTTGCATCTCGGGCCTTGTTGTGTATCCTGTGCAGGGCCTTGGCCACCCAGAGGAATGGGTGCTACCTGCTTGCTTAAGCTGGTGATAGTGTGCAGGGTAGGGGTCTGGCTGACATCAGCGTGAGCAACAGAGGTGTATACGGGAAAGGGGAGGTGTCGGATGCCCACAGTTGCCCTTGACTCCAATGGCTCAGATCTATCAGAACCGGTGGACGTGTATAGTGATTGGATAGACGCCTGTGAGGCCGCCAATCAGTAGCAAAACAGAGGACCCACCCCCTTTGCAGACTCGCTGCCGAGGACCAGCCCGCTGGGTACCAATCCAGAGACATTCCTGAGGTCCAGGGTGTGGGTCCAGGGCCTTCGCAGCCCCCTGCCTGTGTATGGAGTGGATGTGGATGTGAATGTGTGACTGCAAGTGTGGCCATGGGGGTGTGCTCATGGGCAGGGGGCTCCGGGGGTTTGAACTGCCTCCCTTGGCTCCAAAAGCCTTTGACTTGCTCCCTCCTTCGGCCCCTGACCCCCTGGCTCTGGAGCCCTGGCTTCTCCTGGGGCCAATGTCCTGACATCCTGGGTGAGGACAAGCCCAGCAGAGACAGCCTCAGGACTCTCCGCCTCCTCACCCACCTCCCCAGCACCTTGCCCCGTGTGAACTGGACTGCACGCCTCCTCTGCCTTCCAAGGACTGTGGCCTGGGATTCAGCACCACTGGCCCCTGGCTGGGCCCTGGCAGGGGGGCCCCGGTTCATGTGTAGTTGCTTTTATACAGGAGGGAGGGGCTGGGTTGGGGACTGTTAGTCACCAGTCCTTAAATAAAGCAGCCAACGCAGACTCCTGTCTTGATTTCTTGGGTTCTGGTCAGCCCCCCGGGCCCAGTGAGGGGGGGAGGGAGGCCTGGCACATCATTGGAAATGGGGTATGGTCAGTCCTTCCAACTGTCCAACATTTGTCCACTAGACAAGCATCCAGGGTAAAACCATGGCAGTGCTGGGCGCAAGGAACTCCGATGACCCCCACAGACGTGGGCAAGAATTTAGTTCAGTGAGAAATAGGGCAACAGAGCTGGGGTGCGTGGAGCAGGGGGTCAGGGAAGGCTTCTTGGCTGATGGAGGTAACTCTCAAGAGCCACCCTCTGCAGTGGCTTCTCTCAGGCTTGCATGCCTTACCCCCTTGTTCCGACAGCCACCCCGTGAGGCAGGTGCCCCAGGCTTGCAGGTGAGGAAACAGGCCAGAGATGGGAGGTCACTGGCCCAAGGTCCCACAGCCAGAAAGCAGCACAGCTGGTCCTTAAACCCAGGACGCCTGGCTTCACCACCCAGGGTGCAGGCTGAGGGGACAGCTCTTGGTTTTGTGGGGCTGGGGAGCTCTGGAGAAGAGTAAGGGTCCTAAAGGGAGCCTTGTCCCAGGCTGGTGAGGAGTCTCGAAGGCTGGAGGTACCAGCCAGATGCAGGGGTGTGGTCCAATATGTATTGATCTTTGTCCCTGTGCATGGCTCAGAGCTACTAAAACTCTTGGAATTTCCAGTGCGATCACCCAGGATGGGGCTGGTCACCAGAAAGGTCAGGTGATTAGATTACTGAGGGGAACTCCCAGCCACCTCTGGGAAGGGTCAGGGAGAGACTACAGGTTAAGGTCTCTAAATCTTCAGTAAGATACGGTGAACAGTTGAAACCTATATAATTTTTTAAAATATATTTTTATTGATTTCAGAGAGGAAGAGAGAGAAACATCGATGATGAGAGGGAATCATTGATTGGCTTCTTCCTGCACTTTGGACTAAGCCCATAACCCAGGAATGTGCCCTTGACCGGAATTGAACCTGGGACCCTTTGGTCCACAGGCCAGCGCTCTATCCACTGAGCCAAACTGGCTATGGGGAAGCCTATGTAATTTTATCAACCAATAAATTCAATTTAAAAATTTAAATAAAAAGGTTGGTGAACTGGGGAGGTGGTGGGCATGGAGCGCATGGCAGCTCCGCTCTCCTTCCCAGCCTTGCCCTGTGCAGCTCTTCCATCAGGCTGTTCCTGGCTTATGCCCTTTTATAATAAACCTGAGGACTGAACGATCTATAGCCCGTTGGTCACAAGCACCTGGACTTGCAATTGGCAGCTGAAGTGGGGGAGGACCAGCTTGTAGGACCGAGCCCTTATTCTATGGGATCTGATACTATCTCCAGGTAGTGTCGGAACTGAGTTCCTTGCTTGGTGGTGTTGGGAAAAGCACACATCTTAGCACGGCTGATGGTGAGCACCTGGGCACTGCACAGTGCCCTCGGATGGCCTCCTGGTTATGAAGGCCCTGACTCTCAGTAGCCTGTGGCAGGTCCAGCTCTGCCTCCTGAGCCTGAGCAGCAGGGGCCCTGAGCTTTGGATTTCTCGTTGGTGCAATGGGAAGGATGATGGAACCTTCCTCCAGGGGCCACACTGTGGATGGAGGTGCCTCGTTTGGTTTGAGCGACTAGAATCCACCCTGGATGTTGAGGGATGTGAACAGTCAAATGCTGAGCTGGCAGGAAGCCCTGACCACCCAGGCCCAGCTACTGGGTCTGGCATGTGCCCCCTGAAGTCCACCCTGCCCTGAGATGCTCCTTCCTGGTGCGCCCACCTCCCCACCAAGGCCCCAGGGAAGGTTTGGTCCAGACAGGAGACAGTGGTCATGGGCCAAGTGGTGGACGGGCCTGGGTGGGATTGCCTCTGGGGTCCAGGGAAAGGGGGCTCAGTCCTCTGGCATCCAGGGCCCGCCCACCCCAGTCTCACAGACCAAGTGCTAATATGGTGCTGTTTTCCACAGGAGGCAGGGCCCAGAGCCAGGAGTGGATCCTCAGCGTAGCTTCTAGAGCTGGCCCTCGGGGAGCAGGACTCACAGTAGCCAGGCCAAGAGTGCCTGGAATCCAGTTTACAAGGCCCCAAGGGCTAAATCATCTGCATGTAGGTCTTCTGATGTCTGTCTGCAGATCCCCCGCGTTCCAGCCTCATCCCCTGCCCTGGGGAGGGGAGGAGAGAAGGCTGCGCTGTGACCCCTGCATGGCTGCATCCTCTCCTTGGAGCCCTGACAGTTGGTGGCTTGCAAGAGGGATGACTGGGGTCGACGTCACAGAACAGGGTCCCCTCTGAAACAGGGAGGTTGGGGGCCTGGCCACAGACTTCTAGGGTCCTGGAATGGCAGGCGAGACTGGGGGATCAGCCGTAAGAAGAGGGCAGAGTGAGCCTGGCGCATAAGACAGCCATGCCCTCAGTCAGCTACTCAACTGCTCTGACAGTCAGTAAAGTTGGGCCCCCGAAATGCCCATCCTCGCCCACTGTCCTGTCCCCTCTCCCCTCCACACATTGCAATCCAGGACTAATGGGGTCCCCCTGCCCACAGGGGCCTCCAGGACCCAGCTTGTCCATTGGTCGGTGCCAAACATCCTATTTGGTGTAGTCATTTAAGCTTCCCCATGAGCCTTGCTGTCCCCATTTTCCTGATGGAAAAACAGACCTGAGGAGGGGAAGTGACTTGCCCAAGGTCACCTGTCCCATCTAGCCCATCCCAGCACCTTGGTTTTTCCTCACAACTCACAGGCCCCCTGGCAAAGTACATGGGTTCTGAGCATGTGTGTGTGGGTATTGTGTGCATATGTGAGAGGGTGTGTTGTTACGTGTCTTTTTATGTGGGAGTGTGTACTGCATGTGTGAGTATCTGTAGGTGCCTCTAAGGCTGCAGCAAGCCTGTGCACACCATATCCACCAAGAGGTGTGTGTGTGTGAGTACATGTCCGTGTGTCCTGGGTCCAGCGAGTGGCTGTGAGCCTGTGTGTATAGAGTGTGTGGGAGTATGTGTGCCTGTGCAGAAGTGTGTTTGGTCAATGCAGGGTATCTGAGCAAGGCTGTTTGTGCATGTGCAAGAGCCATACAGGCTCCAGGACAGAGCAACCTGAGTCTTCAGATGATTTTATAGCCATTTATTGTGCTCCAGTGAAATAGAAAAAGAAAGTGCTCGCATTACAAACACCGCTGTCACATCCACATACGCCAGTCGCTGCAAACCAAACCGCGTGTGTCCGCTGGGTCTCTGGGCATGCAGTTGGCTCCCATTGTGGGAATGGGGTGGAGGCAGGCTGAGCCTGGGCTCTGGGGGCTTTGCTTGGGGGGCTTCTTGTCCTGGGGGGAACCCACCTGTGAGGGAGTGGGGGGCAGCTGGGGTAGCTTTGCTCAGTGCGTCCTTTGGATGCTGTTGGGAACACCTGGCTCGATGTTGGGCCCTGCAGTGCTCCAGGGAGGAGAGCCCCCTCCCCCCTACACACAGACCCCCCAGTCTGCTCCTCCCCCCAGTGCTAACCCTGTAGGCAGGTGCCAGGGGCTGGAGGGCGCCATGCAGGGGGCAGGGGTTAGCGGGGCCGGGCTAGGCCCTGCTGAGCAGCAGCCAGCCTCCCTGGGGTGGGGGGGAAGGCGGGAGGCCCAGGGCCCTAGGCAGAATTGTAGTAGTTGTGTGGGTGGTGGTTGTGGGCAGGCTCGCCCAGTTCGGGGTAATCGGTCGTCAGGCAGTACTTGGGGTCGTAAACCTGGCGCGGCAGCCCATACACCGTCATGCCCCGCTGCGAGGCCCCCTTATTGCTGCCCATCTGCAGGCTGACGTTGAGACTGTCGCAGTGCTCCATGCCCAGCCCCGGCTCGAAGATCTGCCGCTTGGTCCCCGGAGCCGTCATGCCGGCCTGCGGAGGCAGCGCAGTCAGGCCGTGGGCATGGCGAAGGGCAAGAGCCCCACCAGCCGCCCCATGGCCCCCCACACACCTGGCTGGCTCCCTTGTTGGTGCCCATCTGCAGGCTGATGGTGGCCTGGTCCAGGGGTTGGTCCGTGCCCAGCTTGGGGTCGTAGAGGTGGCGCCGGGTACCATAGGCCGTCATGCCCTGCTGGCTGGCAAACTTGTTGGTGCCCATCTAAGGATCCAGAAGGAGAGGCACTTCAAGGTTACAGAGCCTCACCACGGACCACACATGTGCCGATGCCCGTGGACACTCACAGGCCTCTAACAAGGCAGTTTCCACTCAGGCTACAGACAGGAAGCCGAGGCCCAGAGAAAGTGTCACAGCTCAGCGAGTGGCTCAGAGCACCCAGGCCTGACTGACAGGTTCAAGTCCCAGCTTGGCCACTCGTCACCTGGGAGAGCCTGACAGCTGAGCCAGCTTCTCCAGGCCTGTTTCCATATAAATGGTCTGACGGTAACAGCCTGCCTTCCAGAGCTGCTGCGGGAGTGGGTCAGGTACAGCGTTAGAGCATCAAGGCCAAATACGCTGTCCCCAAAGCCCGCAGGGACCAGGATGCCATCCCGCCTCCACCTCCAGCCGGGCAGTGAGACTCGGGTGGGGAAGGGCAGTACCTGCAGCCCAATGATGTTCCGCCCCTCTCGAAGCTTCTCCGGCTCAAATTTCCGCTCCTGCTTCTCGGCATACTTCACACCCACGTTCACCTTGTTCCCTTTCGTCTTGGCCTGGGGAAGGGAGGGAGGGGGGCAGGGACTGAGGAGGGAGCCTCGGGCTGCACGGTCCCCTCCCACCCACGCTGGGCTCAGGGACGTGAGTGGCCCCACCTGAATTCCAGCCCAGACCGCCCACAGCCCCTCCGCCCATGCCCACCTTGGAGCCACACTCACCATGCTGGCCAGGGCCAGGAGGGTGGACTGCACCTGGGTGTAGTTGGTGTTCTCGAACAGGTCATTGGCCTCAAAGATGTCGTGGGGCCTCACCCCGTACTTGGTGATGGCTTTGATGAAGTTGCCTATGTTCTCCAGCTGGAGAGGCAGGGGGCAGTCAAGGCAGGGGCGAGGCAGAGGGTGGTGCTGAGGGGCTGTGGCCAGGGGTTGAAAGAGTTAAGAGTCTGGGCTCACCTGGTGCCAATTTTGTGTCGATTCATTGACCTTCTTCACGGAGCCTGGCTGGAGCTTATTAATGAACCTACAAGGAGTAGGGGAGAGGAGTGACAAGGTGACCCCTGCTGCCCCACCCCTGCCCAACCCAACAGGACAAGGGGTCAGGATGACAGTCCGTAGGCGACATCCATGTTGCTGTTTCCCACTGCAGTCACTCTCACCTGGATCCCTCACCAAAATACACCCCCAAAACACAGGCAGGACCAAGGTGGGAAACCAGCCTGGCTGGTGTGGTTCAGTGGTTGAGCATCGACCTGTGAACCAGCAGGTCACATGCCCGGGTTGTGGGCTCAAGTCCCAGTGTGGGGCGTGCGGAGGCAGCCGATAATGAATCTCATCATTGATGTTTCTATCTCTTCCCCCTCTTCCTTTCTGAAATCAATAAAAATATTGGGGGAAAGGGGAAAAAGACGGGAAACCAAGCACAGGAGCAGACTCTGTCCGTCAGTCTCCTTGTCGAAGGTGGGGGTCCCCTGGTGCGCCCCACCTCCTGGAGTCCGTGCGGTCTCCTTCGCTCCTGTACACCAAGGAGAGCCTGCAGCTCAGGCCTCACCTCTGCCACACTCACCCCTTGACCTCATCCAGTCTCTTGACTTCAAATGCCACTGACATGCCAGCCACTCCCCAGCATCTCCCTGGAGCCCCGGCCTCCTTCTCTCCAACCCAGCTCCACACACGGATGTGTCAAATCAACGCACCCACCCCGGACCCCTGACACCCGCCTCTGCCCACAGAACTTTCCCCTTCCCAGCTCAGGAAACCCACCCTCCCAGGACACAGGCAACACCCTCAGACTTGTCCTTGACTCTCCTCTGCCTTCTGTCGCCCCACACCCAGCCCCTCAGCAAGGCTCTGGTTCTGCCTTCCAAAGGCCACAGCGTCCCACCGCCCTGCGAGGAGTCCCCAGCGGCTCCCTGTGGGCTCCCAGCTTCCACCTCACCCCCTACAGACCCTTCCTCTGGCAGCTAGAATGGCCCTTTAAAAACAATTCCAGTTACTCCCCACCTCCAGATGCTCCCATGGTTTCCTAACTCCTTAGCATAACTACCAGGCCCCATGTCACCCGGCCCCCGACCAACCCCTCCGTTTCCCCAATCCTCCTGTGCCAGCCACTCCCCTCAGGGCCTTTGCACTGGCTGCCCCCTTGCCTGGCCCACTCTTCCCTCAGACACCCGCCTGGTCTCCTCCCTCACTTCACCCAGGGTTCTGGCAATGTTACCTCTCAAAGACCTCCCAGACCATTCTGCACAAAGCAGCTGCCTTCGCCCGCCCCGGCCCCCATCCTCCCCCACGACTCTTCTCACGTCACTTCCCACCGTAAGCAAGTATGTGATTGTCCCATGGATTGTGGAACCCATCTCCCCGCTAGGACTAAAGCTCCCTATGAGCTCCGAGGCTGCTTTGTTCACTGTCCCAGGGCCTACACCTGACACATAGCGGAGGCTCCATCAATGCCGGGTGAGCAGGGACCTAGTGGGTGAGTGGCTCTGCACTCTTTCTTTGTTTGTTAGTTCTCACCTGAGGATATTTTCTCCATTGATTTTTAGAAAGAGGGAAGGGAGGGAAGGAGGGGGAGAGGAGAGAGAAACATCAATGTGACAGAGACACATCGATGGTTTGCTTCCCGCATGCACCCCAACCGGGACCAGGGAATCAAACCTGCAACCCAGTTACATGCCTTTGACCTGGAATTGAACCCACAACCCTTCGGTCCAAGGGCTGATGCTCTAACCACGTAGCCACACCAGCCAGGGCGGCTCTGCACTCGTTAAGGCCCAGCAGCCCTGACTGAGCTGGGACACCAGGCTGTCTCCCTACTCCTTGTCCCCAGTGGATATTGTAGAGCGAGAGACTCCTGTCGGCCCCCTTTGCAGCACTAGGGCTGGGTAAGGAACATTCCCAAGGGCACACTCTGGTCCTCACAGTCACCTGCCCTGGGTCAGACTCAGCGATACAGACAGGACCTCTGCTGGGCTCAGGCCCCGCCCAGCATTGGAGTTGTTGAATCTGGAATCGGCTTGGGAGCTGTGAGGGCTTGCATCTTTTTTTTTTTAAGGTTTGCATCTTTCTCAGTGATTTGAGTTCTGAGAAGAGCAGAAAATCAGAGCCTACTTAAATTACTGTGGCACATCCCTGTGTCACCAAGCCAGCGATGTTGCCTGTTGTCTTTTAGCTGTGACCTCTCTTTCTTGGGACGCTGGAGGCCATAGATGGGCCTGTGCGCGTGGTGGTGAAGATGCTAGAATCTGGAGTCATTTCTGTTGGAGCTGCATGGGACTTTGGGCGAGGTTTTACCTGAATCAGCCTCAGTTTTCTTTCCTGTTCAATGGGCACAATGACTATTTGCCATCTAAGAGGAGGGCTGTTTCAAGGTCTGAGATAGAAAGTGCTCAACCCAGCTCATGGTCGGTGAAGGGGTTGCGGGTGAGCCCGAGGCAGAGTCTGGGCCAACAGTGCCCCACTTACTCGCAAAGAATGATGCCATCTTTGAGGCCGTCCATGAAGTTGGTGCCTATGCGGCGTCCTGTCACCCCCTCAATCCACTCTCGAAGCTCCTGTTCCCGCTGGAGGTCATACTTCTGGGCCAGCTGGGGGTGGGGGGCACAGAGATGATGGTGAGGATTTGGGGGGCAGGCTTTGCTCCCTAAGCCTGATCTCCTTCCCCATCCCTTCCCAACTAAGGCAATTCTGCCAGTGTCCATGGGTGGGGGTGGGGGGTGCCTTAGGGGGCCGAGGGCCAGGGCTGAGGTGGCACCTGCCCAGGGGGCCATTCCGGGCATTCTGAGGTTTGGCACCAAGAATTCAAACGGGTGGGTGGAGAGGGGGATACTCTGAGTTGGGGGTGGTGCCTGGCCTCCCGGTTTCCCCTCCAGGCCAAACTTGGGGCTTTGCTTTCCCTGGCCCTGCCTCCTCTCCGTCACCCCCTCCCTCCTAGCCCCCCCCTTCCTGGAAGACTGGGAGCCTCTGGCGAAGGGGGAGGAGCCCTGAGGAGGTGCCCTGAATGCTGCTGTGCAGGGGACTGCTCTGTCTTGCATCTCTGTCTGTCTCCAGGTCGTCATCTGGGGCTCCAGCTCTGGCAGAGGGTCGGGCCTGTCTCGGTCTTGCTTCTGGCTCCGAGCGAGCGCCGTGTCTGTTTCTCTGTCTCTCTCCCACTCCCGGGGTCCTGTGTCTCTCCCCAGCTGTGTCTGTCTTTACTTGGCCCTGTAGCCTGTCCCCATCTCTCCTAGTCTGGCTGGGGGTGGGGCCCACCATCCATCTGTGGATCACTCTCCATTTCGGACTTCAGGTTCCCTGCCTCTGGTGGGGGTGGGGCTCGTCTGTCTCCCCCCTCTACCCCTCCATCCAGTCTCAGTCTTATCTCACCCCTGGCTCGCCCTCCCCCATCTGTCTCTCTCCTGTCTCAGGCTCCCAGAATCTCTGTTTCTCTAGAATCCTCGGCCTCCAGCCCAGACAGGCTCCCAGCCCCTGGGGGACCTGACTGCCCCTTCTCCTGGGGGAGGGGGCGGGGGAAGAGAGTGGACCCCTCACCTGGCCCAGGCCCTGCCACCCCCCTCCCCACCAGCCTGGCTTTATAAAGCAAACCGGCCCTTATATAGCACGGCCCTGGGGCTGGGCTCCCTGAGGCCTCCTTATATGGCGTGGCGGCTCCTCTGGGCTCCTGGGCCGGCGCTGGAAGGGGGGGCAGAGGCGGGGAGCACTGGGATGTGTCTCCCGCATGAGCACCCGCCCCCCACCTGCTCCCTTCTCCAGCCACGAGGATCCCCAACCGAGATTCCAATACTAGCTCCACACTTCCTCGCTCCCTGGCAAAAGCCATCCTGCGCCTCAGTGTTCCCCTCTGTGGAATGGGGCTGGGACTCCTCCCCTGGCAGGCCTCATGGGGGCATTCCAGTGGGTTGGAGACTTCAAGTTTGCTTCCTTGGAGAAGCTGACCCCATCCTGGTGTAGAAGGGGGGCGAGGCCAAGGGCATAGCTCTGCACCTCCCTTTTGTGGGACCCTAGCTACTTGCCTCTCCACTCGGAACCTCAGTTTACCCATCCATAGCATGAAGGTCATGTCTCAATGCCTGCCTAATGCCGAAATTAGGAGACCCCTGCCCTGTTTCTAATGCCCACTCTGCCCTTCTCAGCTGCCTCCTCTCCCTTCACTTTCTAGGCTTCACCTCCCAGGAACTCCAGCTCTGAAGTGCTCCCCAACTTCTTTGTCAGCCTGGGGGAGTGGGGACGATCAAGTCTCCCCCAGCCCACCAGGAAAACAAAGGGTTCACGGGGGATTCTGATGAAGTGGGGTCTTCACAGTGGAATGGCCGCTCTGTTTGCCTGCAGTTCCCTGCGTGCCCCCCACTCCCCCCTCCCCCCAGCAGCAGCTGTGGGCTCTGGGATGCTCAAGAGGGGGAGGAAGGCAACCTCTATGGTATACTTGTCCCTCTTCCCTCCCAGGTTCCAAGTCACATGGGACAGGCAGGAGGGCGTCCAGGGAACCCCAAGAGCGGGGCCTCTGGCCTGGCAGGGTGTGTAGGCCAGACCAGGGGCGGCCCTTTAGCCCTACCTTGTTCTTGACCTCGGCTGACAGACCGTAGGCGGGGCCTCGGTTGAAATGGGCAGAGGACATGCTGGCCGGTGGTGGTGGTGGTGGCAGTGGCTCTGAGGACGCTGCAGCAGCTGAGGCTCTGTCTGCACCCTCTTGCCTCCTCACACGTTTTTGAAGCTACGAGGCGGCCCGGGCCTCTTCCAAGGCCGTCCCATTGGCCACAGGGGCCTGCCAAGGGGCGGGGCGCCCCCCCACCTTGGCCACCCCCCTTTCGTGATGTCAGGGCCTTGGTATTGGGAGCTGATTGTGTCATTGTTTCCACCTAGGGGGGCGGCCTGGGTTATTCTTTTGTGGGGGGCTTAGCCAGACAGAGGCCAACGTTACCCTACTCCTCCCCAACCCCCACTGTTCACCGGGCCTCTGGCTGGGTCTCCCAGTCCCTGTGTCTGTCTCACAGGCTGTTGGCATCTCTGACGCCATCTCTCTGTGTCTCTCTCCAGTCTTGAGGCAGAACTGCCATTTGTGGTAGTTAAACCGCCCTCGGTTTAACTCCAGAAACCAACAGCCCTTAACTGTAGACAACTCCCTTCTCTCTGAGCCTCTGTTATCACATCTGTAAAATGGGCTAATGATAATGCCGGCCTTGTGAGAATCAGCAGAAGCAAGGCCTCTGCAGTGCCTGGCATAGGGGAGAGCTCAAGGAACAGCAGTCCTTTCTGCTGAGAATCTGGCAGCCCACCTCTGTCTCCTGCAGCCCCTCATAAGACCCTGGGGGGAGCAAGATCCTGGATCTCACCCTCCCCATCTACCTGTGGGTTGAATGTGTTAGCAGGTTTCCGGCCATGGACATCCCCATACATCCCTGTCCCAGCCAAGATGACCTGGAGGGAATACCTGCAAGCAGCCCCAGCTAGCCAGATCTCACCCCTGGACCACAGGGTGACATGCCCACAGCATGCCACGTATGTCAAGGCCAGATTAGTGACACCTGGCTGACATGCCAGCAATGTACCATCCACTAATATGTTAAGGACATCCCATTGGCTGGCCATATGCTAAAGGCACAGCTGTGACATACTAATATGACAACAGTCCTTATGTCAGGCCCTGTTGCACGCACCGTACATGTGTCAACTCAGTGCTCACAACACCCTCAGAGTGGGCATTGTTATTATACACAATCTAAAGATGGGGAAACTGAGGCAGGGGGTGTGGAATCACTTCCCCAGTGTCACACAGCTTGCCAATGGCAGAGCAGGATTTGAACCCAGGTCCCTGCCCTTAATGCTAAGAGGCAAAGGCTGGTTTCTCAACCTCGGCGGGCACTGTTGTCATCAGGCTGGATAATTCTTCCTGGTGGGACGCGTCCTGGGCAGCATCCCGGGTTTCTGCTACCAGATACCAGTAACACTCCCTTAGTCTTGACAAACAGCAATGTCTCCAGACATGGACACATGATCCTGGGGGAGGGAGGAGGACAGATCTGCCCCGTTTGAGAACGGCTGGGCTAAGGCAACTAGGGACCAGTGGTGGCATGTGGAAGGTACACTAACATACATGAATGAACTAACAGTTAACTCCTGGTACGTACTAAGTGCATTGGATCTGTTAACTCATTCCTCACAACAGCCTGATGAAGTGGGGTCGACAGGAGGCACCGAGAAGAGAAGCCGACGGCCCGGGGCCCCCAGCACGAGGTGGCAGAGTCAGGATTCGAACACGCCACGCCGGGATCCCGCCGGCGCAGA